CCAGATGGTTTCTTTCTTTCAGGCCATATATTGCGGATATGTGTAAATGATATGACTGATGCACTATCCTGGAGAGATAACTCTGAAACTATAGAACAAGAGGGTGACAATTTAGAAAGTGGATAATTTCCCGAATCTTTTATGTTGATGGTGGTTTCACCTAAACAAAAAAGTCAATGTTATTTTATTATTTAAATCATCCATGCTTATTGGGAATTTCTCATTGTATTCACACACAGTACAGCCTAAAAAGTAATATTTGCATATTTCAAGTCATTATTTCTTTTTTTGGCAACTGTATAAAAATGCAGTGCCACGCAATTAACAATAGCACACATATATAAGTATATACATATGTATATATACGTATACGTATACGTATACATACATATATATATATATATATATATACATATACATATATACATATATATATTTCATTAAGTTTTCACGGGTACTTACATGTATGGTATTCAGCTTTGTTCGGGTATTTTCCCACGTCATTATAGTCGTGCTTTTCAAGTTGTAGCAACGTTTCAGCAGAATCTCATCTGCCATCATCAGGCTTGTGTATTGTGTTCGACATTGAGTCAGACTTTTACAGCCGTTTCAGTTTGAAATTTGGGGCTAGCCTACTGCTGTGCCAGAATGGTTTTTTCTTCATCCTGATTGGTTGGGAGTCTTGGTCTGTGTTTATTGGTCTTGGAGTTTGCTGTGTTCTGCTTGATTGGTGTTTCTAATATCTTCTGTCTGTTTTGTGGCTTTTTTTGTGTCTTGATTGGCTGGCAACATTGTGTTCCTGTAATTGGAGGCTTTTAGTGCAGCTTGGCTCAGAGTAAATGGACGCCTATCATTTGTTAGGAAGCTAGGTTTCATCTGGGTGCCCGGTTGGAGTGTGTTTGAGCTGGAGGTATCAGGGGGGATCTGTTTGTGCCCAGGTGTTTGCCTGGCTTGTGGTGTGGAGATTTTTTTGTTTGTGAGTGCAGGCTTCCAAATAATTGACAGTCTGGTGGAATCATCTCTTCTACTAACGCTTTCTGATCTTTTTTCAATCTCTATGGCTTCTCTGATAAATCTGTGGCTGGGGTTTTCTATAGTGGCTAGGGTTTTGGTGCCATTGAAGTTGATGCTAGGACCTGTGGCTTTCAGTGAAGAAGTGTGTTCCAGCTTTTTTACTGCATTTTTGTGTTCATCCAGGTGGGTACTTATTCTTCTATTGGTCTGTCCAATGTATGTGACCAGGCATGATGCACAGGGTACTTCGTATATGCCTTGGTTTTCCAGGTCAATTTTATCTTTGGGGTTTCTTAGGATGGCTGCTATTTTTCTGTCTGTTTTGAAGGCAGTCTTGATGTGATGCCTGTGTAGTATCTTACTGATTTTGTCTGTAGTACCTCTTATGTAGGGCAGGACAGCTGTTCCATAGGTCTGTTCATCTTCTAGGTCTCCATTATGTCTCAGTGTGTTTTTGTGGATCAAGCCAGTGATTTTGCTTTTGTGGAAGCCGTTGGCTGTCAGTACTTTAGTCAGGTGCATAGTTCAGTCTTTATGTGTGTCTTGTCTGCCAGGCGTTTGTTTCTAGCAATTAGTGTTTTAGCCACAGAGTTTATGTGTGCTGGGTGGTGGTGGGATTGGGCGTTGAGGTAGAGGTTGGTGTGTGTTGTCTTTTGGTATATGGTGTCCTAGTGTGCCATCTGTTTTTTGGGAGATTAGTACATTTAGGAATGGTAGTTGTTTGTTTCCATTTCCATGGTGAACTTTTGGGGTGTGTGCTGTTTAGGTGTGTTAGGAAATTGTTTAGGTTTTCTTTTCCATGGGGCCAAATCACAAAGGTGGCATCGATGTATCTTAACCATAGTTTGGGTTTGTGGGTGGCATTGGTCAGGGCTCTGGATTCAAATTCTTCCATGAACAGGTTTGCAATGACGGGTGACATTGGTGATCTACACTGTAGATTCTGCCAAAACATTGCTACAACTTTAAAAGCACAACTACAGTGACGTGAGAAAATACCCGAACAAAGCTGAATACTACACACACACACACACACACACACACACACACACACACACATATACAAACATATTATATATGTGTATATATATATATACTGTATATATATATATATATACTGTATGTATGTATAGTATGTATGTATGTATGTGTGTGTATACACACACACACACACACACACACACACACACACACACACACATACATACATATAATTGCTTTAGCATAATATATGGCAGTCTAAAAAATATGATGAAATAAAAAGTTTACCAACCTGAAGGTCCTGTCTCTTCAAACATGGTCCTTTCATCACAGCACTTCTCATGCTGTTGTTTCATTCAGGCCACCATTGCATAGATAGAGGAACTTAATTAAAATATTCCCAAACTGGGTCTCTTTTACGGCTTGCTGCCATTTTGCTCTTCAAGGCAGGAATAAAGCACTTCAAGTTATGTGCAGAAAGTTCACAAGGTTTATAAGCTGCTTAGAAGGTTTCACTTTCATTTTTACTCCTTGCCCTTTCTCCTCAAACTTAGAGCCTGGTACAGATGCATTTCTCTTCAAACCATCATACTGTTTGTAGTGTACATAGATTTGCAAAACAAAGGGGTAAAGGAATATTCCTGAACTCTGCTTTAGGATTTATCTCATGGTTACTGTGAAATTGTGCACATGCATCAATGCAGTGCATGTTATCTTAGCTGGTAAAGCTTGGATTCACTGAATGAGTTTACAAAAAAAATGTAAATATTGCAGAATATACAGCATCATGCTACATAACTAATCTCCATTTCATGCTGAATAAACTAAATTATTAATGTAACTTAAATTGAAAACTATCTTTAAATAAATTTTTACTCCTAAAGCATTTTATCAAAATAAATGTGATAAAAATAAAAAAAAATCCGATTTAAATTTTAAAAACCCAGGTGTTTTTTTTTTAAACATCGATTTTTATCCATCCTGGTATTCATTCTCCCACCTACCCACTGAATGATTGAGATGAGTCAGTATGCTTGGCGTAATGACAAGGTTGACAGTGCAGGAAGCAGGGAAGTCAGGATTGGGAATAGGAGACGACCTCGCAGAGTTTAGAGTGGGAGAATCAACCCAGGTAATGATGGGAAGGGGAAGAAATGGGAGCCATAGGGCAGGCCTTCACAGGTGAAGATGCTCCTGATACTTAATAGCAGTAGTATGTTCTGAGGTTCCAAGTTCACACCTGATGCTAAATAGCAGACCCTTGGAGGCCCAGGTCTTTGGCGGCTGCTGCTGCTGCACACCAGGTTTATTAACAAGGGTCCCCTCATTTGTGAGGGAGGAACAAGATAATCTGGCGTGTACCACCAAGACTAGATGACACTAGATGGGAGTATTTCCCTTTTGGAGATGTGCCCAGCTGAGTTTAGGGTTTGGTCCTAGCCACGGGGTCTAGGACAACTCACCATGACCAATTTGCTGCAGCCATCTTGCCATGGACCTTTTGCAAACGACCATCTCGCCACCAAACAATCCATGTGGGATAATCAACTCGATAAATGTGATCCACCACTGTGTCTTCTACGTTATTTACTTCTGTTAATGGAAATAATGTCAAAGAAAGAGTGGCGGATAATGCTTGTGTTGAGTTATCCCACATGGATTGTCCATGGTGAATTGTCACATGGCGAGTTGCCACATGGTGAGTTGGCTGTGGCAAGATGGCCGTGGTGAATTGTCCCATTCCGTAACCATTTATTTATGCATGTTCCATATTGACATGCAAAGGTTTTTATTATTGAAATTACAACAACTGTGGAAATAGTTGGGGTAAAGAATGCAAATATGCCACACCATGCTTTATTGATGGTGCTTTTATGTCAGTGGTGCTATTCTACCAGTTCCGGCATGCCAGTAGCGCTCAAGATCAGCTGAGACCAAACCAGTTCTCTCTGACCAGCTGCTGCTGGGCCCGCCCAGGCTCTCATACTGATCTTTATTCCCTGCTTTTGAAGCGCAGCTGCTTTGCGCGGCAGCTGTTGAAGCTACTACAGGGAGGGTGCAGGAGTGCAGGAGGTTCAGTAGGAAAGCCTTTGCGTGTGCGCAGTGTGCGTTTGGTGCACGTGTGAAGCACACCCAAGCCACGCCCACCAAACAGGTGGTAAACTTCTTTGAAACCCACGGCTGTTTTGTGTTGCCTAATAGCAAGGGTTCTGTTGTGGTGATAGAAAAGCCCAGTTGGAACAGTCCAAACGGGCTCCTCTCACAACCGATGCGTGGACCTACTAAGACCGACCAGGCTCCTTCCTTGGCGACTGGGGCAACCGACCTCTTCTATTCTACCTGGAAGAAGCACCTTCTGTGGCCGGGCAAAACAATGCATAGAACAATTGGCACACGTACAAATCGGGGAAATGCTATTCAGAAAATACTAGAGGCAGAAAAATAAAGCCATCAATGCTGCATTGTTTGTCATTGTGCCAACGTTTTATTCATTTCAAGGAATAACTTGCAGCACCTCCCTACTCCCAGATTTCTAATCCAGGATAATAACGTTGTTTCAATTCACTGAAGAGTCTATTTTATTGCAAAATAAATTAGAATCGTTTACATCACAGGCCCAGCTCTCATGGAGCGTATATGTTGAAATTACACTGTGCCATCTAAGAAGGAAAAGGTTTCCCGACTTCACTAGCAGAGGGGGAATAACGTCATCATGAACCTCCTTTCCGAGCGAATTCATTTAATCGTCCCTCCGAGATGTTTTTGGGATTAGTTTCCCCCTTCCCACCCAGCCTAATCCCTGCGCCACCATACAACCCTCCTCTCCGCTGTCACCGCGGGGCCTCCGAGCGACCGGAGAGGCCGGCGAGCCCCGGGGCAGAGTCCTGGGAGAGCCCGCCCCCGACTTGCGCCACCCCCGGGAAGGGAGGCCCGCCTTGTTCGGGGAAAGCCCTCGGTAACACCCTGGGGGGGCGGCCGGCAGCCTCCCCGCTCTCCGGACTGACCTTGCCGCAGGCGCCATCGCCCAAGAGCACAAACTTGAGCTGCCGGTTCGCGCCTTCTCCCTCCGAGTCCGAGTCCGACATCGCCCAGCGCAGGGAGCCGCTCTCAGAGGGGGCCCAGAGGCCACCGCGCCGCCGCCGCCGCCGCCATCTTGTCCCTTCTGTCGCCCGGGAGCCGTTGGGCTGGACCAACGCCTCAGCGAGCCGACGGGGCGGGAAGCGGGGCCGCTGCGGGGGAGGGACGGCAGCGGAAGGCGGCGTGCGGAGGAAGCAGGCTCGGTAGTGAGGCGAAAAATGAACCGAGGCTGCCCGTGATACCTGCACTGACGTAGTCCCCCCCCCCCTCTACATCGATGGTTTCTCCCAAAAACAGAGCTGAATGCCACACACACACACACACACACACACACACACACACACACACACACACAC